GAGCACTACTCCAACTGGAACCACTTCRACCACCACTGGGGCTTGAATGCCCCCCAGCGCTTGTACACAGAGATGATGGYTCTGATGGAGGAAAACCCATKAATCCATCCCTGAATCCATTTGTAAATCTGCCCCTGAATGCATCTGTGAATCCATCCAYGAATCCATTCCCGAATCCATCCACKAATCCATCTCCAAATCCATCCACGAATCCATCCCTGTGCTGCCCCATGATGGAGAAGCCGCCTATTCCCACGTGTCTGAGGGCACAGGGTTTATGTGAGGGATGCCCTCCTTAAAAATTACTTCTGTCCCCTTGTCCCATGCTGATTTAACTCCTTAAATGAATCCATCCCYGATTTAACTAAATCTAACTCCTTMATTTAACTTGGATTTAAATAAATCTAACATCCTTGATTTAACTAAATCTAACTCCTTTGATTTCTGCCCACGCTCTGCAGCTGTGGAGATTGCAATAAAGTCCTGCATCGCAGCCAAGCTCCAGCCCTGGGCTGTTCAGGTTTGTAGGAGATTTGCTATGCTGGGTTTTTTTCTCAGCTTTTGCTAGCTTGGAGCATTGCAMGTGTGAAATTTTACTCCAAGGGTCGAGTACATGCTGTGTTTTGTGGGTTTAGGCACAGGAGAGGAGGAAAGTGGCTTTGTGACAGCCACTGAGGGAAAGAGGCCACATCTGGCCTGGGGTGGGGCTCTGAGCTGGWGTGCTGGTGCATCCCCCCAACTCACACACTCTTTTCCAAGCTGCAGTGTGATCTGAGAAATGATTGTTAGGCCTTGGCCTTGAAAAAACACCACCTGGGCTTGGCTCTTTCTGGGCTTATCAGAAACACTGTCAGCTCCCAGCAGCTCCYAACAAGCTTCTGCTTTCCTCATGASCAGCCTTGGAAAATATTCCTCYGKCCCAAATGGCATAACATTCCTGTCCTCACACTTTCAAAGGGGAAGTGCTGACCCAAACTGTGGCCAGGATGAAGYRTTGTTATGACTAAAGCCCACTCTCTTGCAYCCCTATAAACAGCGGCCCAAGATGGGGCCCTTTAAGCCCTCCTGTGTTTCCCTYATAAAACTCCTGCTCTCTCCTGTTACTTTGGCTAACCAGAGAAGGATTCTGGGAATAATTTAGCTGAACTARAGGTGAAAAACAAGTTACATAACCCCGGGAAACAAGTGAYAGAGCCTGTGAGAGCTCACACCAGGGTGTGGTGGTTGGTTCTGACCRTGGCGTGTTCCTAACGTGATTTACGGTGGTTGGCTCAGACACTTTGTTGTGCTTCATAAAAATGTAAACACATAAAAAAAAAACAACAGCTTGAAGAACCCTGGATTTTGGCAATAAACATCTTTGCACACCAGTGTGGAGTCTGTGCCTCAATCRCCGCGCTCCTGGGCCRCAGTGGGCCTGCGACCAGCAATGTCCCTCTGAGGGGGACTCTAGGAGCCATCACACCCTCCATTTGCCATCCCTGGAAAATCACCAAAACATGGCGTGTCCTGGGCCAATTCAGTTTTGAGGATAGCTTATGGTAACCATAAGCATTATTGAAAATGCCTGTTCACAGTCAGCACCTCTCCGGCATAAGCATAAGTTTACCAGGATTTTTCAAGGTGCAACCTTGCTCAGAAAAATTACATCATATGACTTGGCAAATTGCATTTRAAACCTGCTCAGTTCAGAGATGGTAAGACAGCTTCTGCAGATTACATACATGGGTTTAAGCCTAGCATGGCCATACGCAGTTAATTGCACCTAGAAACTGATAAATCATTCAATGCTTTGACACCAAGCCCTACAGTTAATTGCTATAGCCTTATATTTTGCCCAGTTAGGGGTCCATGCTGAGTAAGATTAAAATGCTCTGAGGGGATAGCCTGAAAAATATACAATAAATGCTCCTTTCTCAATCTTTTATGGGATAAGAATAAAGGGCGTGTTGACAAGAGACAGTGTGCTGCCCAAAATTAGTTGTGTACTAGTAACTTAGGCATCTCAAGGACACATAGCTGTTGGACAAGTGCCAGCCTGCTCAGCTCTTTGAAGCTGGGTTACATACAAAAAATTAAAATTAACCCTACAGTGTTAACAGTGATGCCTTGGTTCTATCAGAGAGAAACAACATCACAGTCTCAGTTTGCACATCCAAATAAAGCTGATGAATTATATATATATATATATATATATAAAACTGAGAAGAACTTAAAATTGCATGTTCGAAGTAAATACTTTCTTCAGGGCAACACCTCCTGCCTCTCTGGGCAAGCCATGTTCCAGTGCTGCACCGCTGCTTGTCATATTACTCTTTTCCATAATATTCGCAGCAGAATGTCCAAGATGGATTCTTCTTCTGCCAATATTTTGTCTCCCGTATTTCCCATCCCCAGCCACTCAC